GTGATTCGGGTTCACCTGTGGTTCAATTTGTGTCCGGAAAAGCTGTGTTAGTCGGTGTACACGCGGGTGGAAGAGCAGATGCCCTAGATCATAAGTGCGCTAGCGGCATTTTTTTTGGGCACCGCATTTCATTCTTCATCGATTGGCTCAAGCATTTCATTGAACCACAAATGGCTGCGAGTATTGACAAAATTCAGCCCAAGAAGAGTAATGGCTCTCAAAGTATTCAATTAGATTTGATTCTTGTATTCAATCTAATCGTTATTTTCTCATTCAATTTTAAGTATTTTTAAAGTGTATTGAATATTATTTATTTGTAATTAAACAACTATCCTATATATTAAATTAAAATTAGAAATTTTATAAATAAAACACAAAAGATTCAAACAATTCTTAAAACAATAGCCAAATTTCATGCTTTAACAACAATTACATTGTATTTGATTTAAATTATGTATTGATTTAATTTGCAAACAGTTATGAAATACAAACAAATATTTGAGAATAAGTTTTCTGTTTATGAAAATTAATTATCACTTCAATTCAAATATAAGTTAAAATATAATTTAAAAATTAATTACAATTCATTTATCTTTAACTTTTATAAAAGTATTCAAAAATTTCACGGTTTTATCAATTCATATGATTTTAATTTTGATTATTTCAAGTATTTCTACAACAGTTTTATGTAAATTAGACAAAAAAAAGACAAATTTAGATATAATCTAACTTAATATACATCTTACAGGTCAGGGAACTGTTCCTCCGCCACACATAGAGATCGGTAATTATCCGCTACTCAATAGCCCGACGTGTGGTTTGCGTAAAGTGAATGGCGGAACACAATCACGAATAGTGGCCGGAGATATGGCATCAGTGGGTGAGTTCCCGTGGATGGCATCCATTCAATACGTGGGAAACAACGGCTCTCAACCCCATACTTTTGTATGCGGCGGAGCTCTAATCGCCGACCAATGGGTTATAACCGCTAAACACTGTTTTTTAGAGTAATTAAAAAACATTGTTTTTATTCACAACTTAATGACTATTATTTGATTGGAAGATATCGTCCGCCGATTACTCACGTCAACCAATTTGTTGTCTATTTGGGAGCCTTTCATAGAAACGGAAGCACTCAAGAGATGAGAGAAACGGCAACCGATTTCTATTTATACCCCGATTATGATTTGGCTTTGATTCGTCTGTCTAGACATGTGGTGCCAATCGTCCGATCGGGAAATTATTTGGTGAATAGTGTTTGTGTGCCTAAAGAAAAGCAATTAAACTCTGCGCCAGAGTTTGTATGGATCTCGGGGTTCGGTGTCATCGACACTGAGGCACAATTTCCTACTATAACCCTTAGGAAAGCAAACTTAGCCATCGATTCCTACACCGATTGCTTGTCGCGTAACTTTGATATGCATTTCATATGCGGAACTGAAACCGCTCAATACCCGTGTTATGTGAGTTGTGTCCACACGTTTCATATACATTAATAATAACAGTAATTTTCCCAATCGTTTAATCATATAAAAGGGTGACTCGGGTTCACCTGTGGTTCAATTTGTGTCCGGGAGAGCGGTGTTAGTTGGCGTGAACATTGGTGGAAAGGCAGACGCCCATGATCATAAGTGCGGTGGCGGCACTTTTGTTGGGCACCGCATCTCATTCTTCATCGATTGGCTCAAGCATTTCATTGAACCACAAATAGTTCCGATCACTGACTCCGGCAAACAGCCTAAGGAAAGTAATGGCTCTCAAAGTATTCAATTAGATTTTCTTCTTGTATTTATCGTTATTTTCTCATTGAAATTCATGTATTATTATTTTTTGTGAATATTATTTAGTTTGATTTTTAAAACAAAAGCAGTTTAAAGTTTTGTAATTAAATAATTATTAAGATGTTAAATTAAAATTTGTATAATTAAACCCCAAATTATTTAAACATCTCTTAAAACAATTTCCCTGAAAATTTATAAAATTGAAATGATGTGATTAATAATCACTGATTATTATCTACACATAAATTAGATAACTCAGAGTTCTATATTGTTTTTTGTTTTTTCATATTCTTATAATTAAATAATAAAAAATCATTGTTATAGTGTGGCCATGGTGAATTGATTTGAATTAGTTTTATAGTATTAATTCTATACAGACAGTTATAATTATAGCTAAATTATAAGATTTAAGTTATTTGTATAGAAATATGAAAGTTTTAAACAGATACTTATAAATTGGTACAAAAATAATGCATTTATTTCCCATATACTTATCAACAATTTTCTGTATGCAATCATTACTACTATTATCGCGATAAATGAATATTTTAAAATGTTTTTTTGTCACAATTTTTATACCAATCATAAGACATAATAACGATTGAATGCATCGATAATGACATTAACTGTGGTTTGAGTCGACTCGAAGGCCAGAAATTTATCGTCGGTGGGAGTGATGTGAGCGCCGGTCGGTTCCCATTCATGGCCAGCATTCAGAAGCCCTCAAACCCGATGATAGACCCGATAGACTGGAAGTGGACACACAGTTGTGGCGCCACTGTTATCGACAAACGATGGCTATTGACAGCCGCGCACTGTCTCGAAGAAAGGCATGTCCACCCGTCCCCATACAACCGGCCATTAATTGACTTTCATTTAAATTTACGTCTAATCTAACAGTGAGTCTAATGAATTGCGATTAGTGTTGGGAACAATTGATTTGTCGAAAACAGGTCTCACGTATTCAGTGGACAGGTTTGTCATCCATGGCTGTTATGATAGCGACATTATAATGAACGACATCGCACTCATCCGCACCTCTCAAGACATTATTCCTGTATTGAATCGGATGTCAGTCGTGGGCACTGTATGTCTGCCGGAATCGGACGCCAAGCCCACAGTCCCAGAACTCTATGAGTTGGGATGGGGTCTGAATGAGACGTACGGCACCCGTACTGCACAAGTCCTACAAAAGGCAAAAACTTATTTGTTTTCAGAGCAATACTGTCTTTACGCCGAGTATTACAGTAATATTGGTTTAACTGGTTTTTGGGCTCCTTTGGGTTATAAGATATGCGTTCGTAATTCAGACACCAGTGCCTGTAATGTAAGTAACTTTAGATTAATTTATATTTTATGTGACATTACTTTGTCTTAATAATTAAAATTTAATTGAGTATTAATTACTATAATTTCATGGAATAATCAAAGGGCGACTCCGGGGGACCACTTTTTCAGATAGTCGAGGGCCGAGCCGTACAGTTAGGCATCACATCCCACGGAACAGGAAATATAGTATCCGATACGTTAGGCTTCCGCTGTTTTCGTAACGAACCGGTGCTTTACACCCGAGTCTCCAAATATATTGATTGGATTCAATCGGTTGTCAATGAATACCAGAATTTAACCCAAATTCCCGCAAAATGTTTATGAAAATAAAAAAATATCAATCGTTTGTTTGATTGTTTTATTTCTAGTTTTATATAAAACTATACATTCACTGAATTGAAACAAATAATTAGATTAATTTATATAAAACTAATTGGTTTCGTGATTTATTGTTTAAATTATTAGTTCATTGTATTCACGATTTTAACAATTGG